CTGAGAAGGTCTCCTCTCTCACTCTCAGAGGTGGTGGGAGGAATCTATCAAATAGCCCACTTCTATCTCTGTACAGGACTAATGCAATTAGTAAAATTAGTCACACAAAAAAACTACCAAATAAACCACAATTCATACATAACACTGTGAAATCTTTAAGAATAATAAACTAGTGTGCACATCTTCCGGTCGATAAACTCACGCGTATAGTTGGAAAAGTCTCATAGTCTCGCGTTGTTTCAGTCCATGTGAGAGTCTATTGAAAACAGAGCATGGATGTAGGCTAAACAAACAAACAAACAAACAAACAATACTGCAAATATTTTTACTCATTTCAACCAAGAGAACGTGAATAAAGTTCAAGAAAAATAATTATGTGCGAAAATGTGCGTGGAATCCTGCGAGCGCACAGTTTCATAGGCTACATTTGTTTTTTTGGTGCGTACGCATCTTTCCAGCTTCGTAATGTAATGTCGATCCCACGTTTCAGTGTGAATTCTACACAAGGCTTTAGTACAGAAGGCCCCAGGTGTTCTTCTCTGTCAGCTGATGCACACCTGCTGCAGGTGAGTGACGTTCGGAGTCTGAAAGACGATTACCGCTGAAGCTAGTCCAGAGAGGAAGGACGCCGACTTTCAACCCGGAGATGTGGGCTCGAACCTCAACTCAGACGACCTCAGGTACGTGACACAGGTGTGAGTGCGTGTGTGTGTGTGAAAAACAACAAAATAACAAGTACAACAAAAACTGTGCTCAAAACAATAATAACTTCAAACGCTGCGTTCACTAAACTCGTCCGTTCGCTTCGATTTCTCCGTCCGAATTTGCGAATTTCCGAATTTCCACGATTTCCAACGAGGACCAACGAGGAGAGTACACAACAGGTATGTCCAGGTGGGTGAGCCCTGAGGTCCAGCTAGCTTAACTAAGCTAGCTGGAAGGGCATTTTGGCTGCTTTTGCTTTCAGTTGACATCATCTGAGTTTCTGATATGGAAGACGAAAAATGTCTTAATTATTATTATTATTATTATTATCATTAGGCTATTATAATTACTATTTGCCTGTCCTCACCCAATTGCAGATTTACATATAGGCGATATGGGCAGCAAATAAACAAACAAAAAAAACATTGCTCATCATGTCAATGATGTCATGTCACCGTGTTGGAGCGGGCGCCATTTCTAGTTTGTCCCTCTCACTCTCGGTGGTGGTAGATGGGGAAGGGGCTGGGGGAGTTTGCACTTCTATCTCTGTACAGAACTAATGCAATTAGTAAAATCAGTCACAGCAGGAAAAGCTGCCAAAGGGGGTATTTGCCCAGGGCACCATACAAGCTAGAACCACCACTGACCCACATGCAGCAGTGGAATGACTATTTAAATCCATAACTTAAGGAACCACTACTGCTCTTCACATTTGTATATCTATTTTTTCTTTCACTTTTATATTTTTTGTTAAATATTGAATAATTCTAGATGCTCCATTAACCTAATCTTTGAAAATACATTGTATTTTATACATTTATCACATGTTTTTAATGTAAAATCCTAATTTTTAAAGTAAGTAACTGTAGCTGTCAGATAAATGTAGTGGAATAAATAAAATAAATGATATACTTGTCACCACAGCCACTAATTTTTGTTTCTGTAAATTGAGTGAACTATTCCTTTAATTTGGATATTTTCATTTTACTCAGAATGGATTACGAGGATGGATTATCAGTACACTGAGTGCCACTTGAGACTCGATTTGGACATGACCCTGGTGACTCAGATTTGGACTCATACATGATCTCTGAGGATTTAGGACTCGAGAGGTTTGGTGACTCAATTTCAGCACTGGCGTGTGGTAAAATAACTTGTTCTTTGTGCATGTAGTTGAATTTGTTGAGAACTGTTTGCTCCGCCTCTGCCTCATAGTCCTCACTCTGCTACTTCTTCTGCTCCTGTATCCCCAACCCTAATCCTGCACCTCTCAGCAGAGGGCAGGTACACTCAGAGCCAAGGTTAAGCTTGTGAATGTGGGGACACTTAAATCTCTTCTGCTCTTGACTGTAACTAAATGAATATTCGCCTTTATGAAGGCAGATTACAGTCACTACACCTGCTTCCCGCTCCATTCTTATAACTTTGTGTCTCCCTCACACACATTTATTTTCCCTCTCCTCTCTCATTAATGTCCAAGAGGTTTTTAAAAGCCCTTCAGCCCATGTTGGCGGCGATGAGAGAATTATTTTTCACCTCTACGAGCTAAGAGGAATTAACATGCTGGATTTACACTTGCTGTGATTTTCACACTATTTGAATGGCCCCTGCTGGGTCTTACAAAGCAGCATAAATTTGTCAGTAAGAGGATGATTGCCTTGTAGCTGTAAATATTTGAGGGTTTTTGGCTATGCTGTTTGGCACTTGTACTGACATTTTAATTGAGAGGGAGTTGTGAGGAGGCAAGCTGTGGAAGAGAAGCACATAGAAGTTAAGCATGCAGTATTTCTAACCACGTGTCTATACTTCTGCTGTGCAGAAATACAGTAGCTTAGCAGTGGAGGCCTCGGCCGAGCAGAAACCTGCTGGATGCACAGTATCCACTAGATGGCGATGACACTTTAATAATCAGACCAACACATTAGGAAGAAGGAGCGTCTTGCACAATAGCACCATTATATTGCTTAAGCATGTATCTTAAACATGAGAGAACACAAGGGTTGTTTGAATGATGAGGAAATTTGAAGTGAAGAGGAGGGGTCACTGTGGAGCAAAGAGACCGTGGAAGAGGTTAATGATGGCAGACCAGCCTGGATTAACAGCCATGAATAGAGGTGGGGGGATAAACAGCACTGTAATTGCTGCCTGTCATTCTGGCTCTGAAATAGACTCTGAGGGAAGTCTTTACTCTAAGGCTGCACTGGAAACAAACTATACTCTGGCAGGGAGTTTGAGGGCCCAAAACTCACAATGAAGAGCATTTCATTCCTCATTACACTACAGTATTACATTACACAGTAACAGTCTGTGTATTTATCCTGCAAGCACTGGATTGATATAATCCTCAATTAATTCATCCACAAAGAGCCTGAAGGATCTCTCTTCTTATGCTGGCTCCCAACTTTTACAAGTGAATTTGGCCCCTTGTCACAGGCTGCAGGTTCAACCAAAGAGCAAAGCTGCCTTCTCATGTTGTTTCACTTGAAGAGTTCATATAGTCCTGGAATAAAAGTATCCATAATTTAATGATAAAAAGCAGCGGTGTAATATCACTGTATACATTTACTCAAGCACTGTACTGAAGAACTTATACCTAGTCTATTCAATATTTCCATTTAAATTTTACTTTTTAAACACAAATCACATAATCATTTTATAAAATATGATGATAAATGTTATAGAATAAACTACCAAACAAAAAAAGAGTTAAAATTAGCTTTACCTCAACCCACTACAATATTAAAATGCTGCTTAGCTACAAGTTATTGCATCAGTAATAAAATTATTATATTATTAATCATATTATAATACTGACAGGGTCTATTGTGCTGCATCATCAGTACTTTTACTTTACTTAAGGACATTGTGCTGATAGTACTTGTACTTTTACTTTGTGTGATTTTGACTTCAGCACTTTTATTTTTTATTTGTAGTACAGCTACTTTTACTTTAATAAATGATCTGAATACTTCCTCCACAACTGGTAACAAAAAGAATAGAGAAAAAATAAAGGTGCTATATAAATAAAGGAATTATTATTATTATTATTATTAAGTTAATCATCTCATGACCCTTCACATTACGGAGGCCTCCAGCTCCAGCTTGGGAACCACTGCTTTAAAACATATAATGAGTTGCGTCTAGGTCTATGGAACATATGCTGCACATGTAGGCATAGTTAAAGGTCTTTGTAGCACAACCACAGAACAAGCACAGATTTAAGGTTAGGGGGGGGTGGTAATGGGTGGGCTGGCTGAGCTCACCGCAAAATTATATATAGACTTCCTGCACTCTTACTTCAAACCCACCAAGACACAATCCAGGAGCTACAGTTGACGAGGACGAGATTCAAACTTTGAAAGAGCGAGGTGATTCCCAGCCCCATAACCACTTCAAACAGGATGCATATGCGCAAGTGTTCAGAGTTGAGTTTTTTTGATGCAGTAAAATGAGGCTGCTGTTTAGTGTGTGCGCGCATGTGTCACAAAAATACATATATACCTCACTTCTCTCTCTCTCTGGAAAAAAATGCTCATACATCGGCTACTGTTTTGTGCGCGTACGCAGGCCATGTGTTCTTTCTCCTCACTGATTCACAAAAAGTCAGTGTAAAAAGTCCCTGGTGTTCTGGTGTTGCCCTTTTCTACCCTCACACTGGAAGTGACACATCCTCTACGGGTTTCATTTATTATAATAGGTTCCGTTTAACTTGAATCATCTGCAAACCTCAGTCAGGACACTTTGTTTGGAGCTGGTATCTGTGCTGGCTCCAGCCGTGGTCACCTCCAGATGGCTTTTGAGGGAATATTGCTGAGTCATGAGGAGGGGGAGGAGGCACTAAGTCTATTTCGATTGAAAATGTCTTCAGGTAAGCAATAGGCAGATATCCTTCAATCCGCTTTCGCTGCCGGCGGTGCTCTACCCACCTCTGCGCGGTGATGCCCAAAGGAAAGAGGAGGAGGAGCGGGGTCTCCGAAACCTGCCCACCTCTCTCCTCCCTCCGCCACCAACACCGCGACAGACACCAATGCTGGCCTATAGCACCAGAGACGGACGCCCGCTCCCACCCGCCCGCCCCGCGCGCGCGCCGCGCGGCCCGCGCAGCGCACACACACACACACACACACACACACACTTACACACACACTTCTCCGTCCTTTCCCTCTCCCGGCCCTCCCTCCCCTGTGCCCTGCCCACCCCGGCGGTCTCTTCTCCAGCCCTGCCAGAGCCAATCCGCGACTGGGTGTAAGTAGGGCAAGCCGCTTCCTGGTTCTCAGAAAGGAGGAGCTGGGAGTCGGAGTGGGCCAGCGGAGGCAAGCAAGCCGACAGGGGGGTCAGAACAGCCCTGAGAGCCGGCGGTCTGCAAGACAGAGGAGCAGAGGGGACCAATAAGAAAAACGACGACGCACGGTTTAGCGAAGAATAAAACCTCCCGGGTTTCGAGCTGAGGACGGTGAGAGCGGCGGACAAGAGAAGACAAGAGCTGGGACGATAAAAAGAAGAAGAATAAGAAGTAGAAGAAGTAGGCAGGGTGGGACGGAATAATCCAGGAAGTGTGGAGGCCGGTCAGGTGGGAGGCGACGAGTCAGGACAGGTGCCACACTGGCTCTCAGGTAACTGCTTCACCTGACTGCTGTTGAAATGACTGAAAATTACGACGCACCTTTTAAGTTTAATGTGTATTAGGTGTCGCGTCTGTTTAAATTGACAGCATCGGCTTGCCTGAATCTATAGTCTCCCTCCTCCCTCTCTCCCTCCCTCCCTCCCTCTCTCTCTCTCTCTCTCTCTCAGTTCTGATCGGGGTCACGGGAGGACTACCCACGTCACGGGTATTCGGTAACTCCTGTCGACATTTATTCCCCTTTATAATACTGGCAGAGCGCGTTAAGGGCTTGGCTTTCAAATGCTCAAAATGAAACCTAGGCTGTGTGTTTGTTGGAGCAGGTGCTTCAGCCGCTGTTTGATATGTGCGTCTGTGCGAGGCGGCCCAGGTGAGAGAGAGAGAGAGCGAGAGAGAGAAACAGCGGGGTCGGCGGGTACATTTCTGGAGAGTCGGCTGCTAATTATAGCCGAGAACACCGGCTGACATCCAAAACCTGACCTGCTCTCACGCACATTACCTGCCTCTCTGCTGCTCATGGGCACGCACCGCGGTGGATCTATTGGATTTGGCCTCTTGCACCTAAATGATCTCCCTTCAGTGGTCTGTTAATCATCATTATCATCATCATCATCATCATCATCATCATCATACTCCTCCTCCTCATGGCGCACCTAGTGTTTTATTTTAATCCTGGCACTCTCCTGTGTTACAATAGGATGTGCTCAGGCTGTAATGTTAGGTTAAGGCTTCTGCCTGTCTGTGCCAGTGGGCTTTTGTGTGTGTCATTACGGAGGTAGATGTGTGTGTAGCTGACTCGCCCCTCTGACAGACCGGCCTAACAAGCTCAACTGGCTTGAGTTTGGTTTCCCTGTGTCGGGCCCAGCCTGTTTGGTTAAATCTTTAGGTGTCCATGCAGGTAGTTAATGTCTTATGCCTTCTAGGCTCAGGTGTTGTCAAAGTTTTTTTTTTTTTCTTTCTGGCTCATCTCTCATTCTCAGAGGACTGGAGTGGGAGGCTGACACATTGGCTACAGCCTCTAGTTGTGGGCAAGCTTGTGACTGAAGGGAAGAAAAGTTTAGAGAAGAGAATCTGAATCGTTTTTGTTTTCTTTGTCTCGCCGTCTTACTCCCAGTGTGCCAGGGTTACATACCACCATCATATGAGTGGACATTTCTAATGCTCCCTCGTACTGGGAGGGTTTCCCACACATGGAAGAGCCATCAGGGTTTTGAAATAAATTCTTAATGCCAGCTCTGTTCGCCCCAACTTTGTCTGCAACATAATTAGACATCTGTGCTACATCCTCCGTTCCTGCTGTCCTGACATGACCTCCATCCTGCTCTGCTTTCCGCAGGCCTGCCTCTTTCTTTTCTTATTGCTGATACCTCTCTTTCCCTCTGACACTTTACCATCATATGTGTGATCTGAATCTGCAGACACATGAACGTGTTTTCACTTACCTACATCTTCTGAATATTTCTTAGAGAGCTTTGGAAGTCATAAAAAAGCACACACCATTATCTCTGTACAGTATGTTAGTAATCATTTTCATCCCAAGAGGTGTGTGTGTGTGTGTGTGTGTGTGTGTGTGTGTGTGTGTGTGTGTGTGTGCGGGGTGGGCTTTCCCAACCCTACTGACTGTTGGAGAACTTCTGTTCATAAGAAGTCAAAGTAGGAAGCAGTCGGTTTCAATCAGCTTCTTTTTTTTCTGTTCTTTTACAAGAATCCCCCCCCACACAAACACACACACACACATACACACACACACACACACACACACACACACACACACACACACACACACACTCACACACACACACTCCACCCCAAATTACATCTGATGCATCATATGATAGTGTGTGGGAGTGTGAGTTTATTCACATGCACTGTATTGAACTGTAACCTGTTTTGCAAAAGAAAACGCACATCTTAGTCAGCACTTTGTATTTTCTTGATATTAGTTCATCACCTCTCCCACCCCCTGTTCATGCTTAGTAGCTGTCCAACATGTAGCCCCTCCTTTACGATGAATAACGCTAAAATTAAATCAGTTGATTTCTTTTTAATACTTCCTCGGCTTTTCCCTCAGGTGTACTGTATGACCTCTGCTGACCTCTGAGCAAAGAACCAAAGAGGAGGGAGGGTGGGTGAGCGAGAGAGACAGAAAGCAGGCACCCATCTTCTCCTGGGTTTATGGACTGGAGGTAGGAATGACACACCATATATTATATATTGCACCATATATCTCAGAATCAGGCTGTCACTCTTACTTAGCACTTTTATTTATGCTGTCAACCAGTTAGTATAAGCACCGTGTTATCTGAAAAATCTCAGCTGATAAATGTACAATAGGACAGTGATTATCTTAACCTCAGGGATTCAGTATGCTAGTTCGTATCAAGTGTCATCCACAGTCGTCTAACGGCAAATGTGTTTATACTTGTTCCAAAGAGATACACTTGGAGGTGGGGTGAAAAGCGGTTCGTCATAGAGACTAGCCGGGACACCTGTTTAAAAATGTGGTTAACGGTGGATGTTTTCTCTCCTGGACGACATTCGTAATGTTGCTCTCGTGCATAAAAAAGTGAAAAGTTACGGACGTACAAATGAAAATAGCAGGACACAGAAATTCAAGTTTCACACACTTATTCAGTCTTTGCGTAAAATTGGTGCGAACGTCAGATAGTCGGTTTCGGAAACGTGTGGTTGGAGTACGGTTTCCAAAGCTATGAGACCATGCGACAAGTACTGAAGTATAGTGGCGCCTTAACGCAGCCACATTCAAAGAGGCGACAAAATGCCTGCCGTCATAGAGACAAATGGGGCTCGTAGTGTTGCACTCATTTGTACACACAAGAAGTGATGGAAACACTTTATTTATGTGAGGAATGATTCAGAAGAAGAATGGTTAATAACTGCGCGAAGTGGGCGGTATTGTCAGTTTCACAAAGTAACAGACATTCTTGGTCGCAGCCCTGACTTCGGAGAGGTGTGTGGTGAAAGGGGTTTCAGAAGCTTTTTAAGGATTTGGCAAACACTTTGTTCGAGGCACGCTGCCGCAATTAAGACGCTTTTCGGTAAGGTCTCAAGTTTCAAGTTGCCTATGATGAGCCAAAACGGTAGAGTGAAGGTTGGAACAGGTGCAGCGTTGCACATTGGCATTGGTGTGATTGTTTATGAAATCTGATTTCATTCAGTTGGAATTTTTTTTTACTTCCTTGTCTTCAAATAAATGTGTTCGCTTAAAGCTATATGCTAAGTTTATAATAATTAGCACCCCCTGCAGGCACAGGTGTGAATCAGATATCGAGTGTCAGGTGTTACATGTGAGAAGCTGTTTCCCCTTCTTGTTGTTATGTGCTAAAAATGTCTCAGGGCGACTGACGAAAGTAAACATGAATATATTATTTAGTGAAGTAATGACATTAGATGTCATTCACAAACCCTCTTAATATTTATTAGAGAATATGTCCAACCATAGCGTTTCAGTACAACATATGAATTAACATCATCCTCAATTTTTAAACAACAGGGCTGCATATTCACACTGTCGAGTTCAGTAATTTCTAAATGACTGAAAACAGACTGAGATCATTTGAGATCCGTTTATATAATACAAATAAACTACTAGATGTATTGCAAGTTGGCCTGCAAATCATTTGCAAATCAATACAATTTCGGTGAAAAAATGTAGTTATGAAAAAATAAAAATATAAACAATGTTGTCTGTGAATGTTCTCATTCGTCCAGGTCATAGTTATCTCTCTCTCAAATTAAATCGAAGGCAACTGGACTTGTATTTGTAAGGCAACTGGACTTGTATTTGTCTGTGGAAGACGTTTCGCCTCTTATCCAAGCGGCTTCATCAGTTCATCATGTATTGGTCTCCAGACCAATACATGATGAACTGACATCATGTATTGTAACAGACAAATACAAGTCCAGTTGCCTTCGATTTAATTTGAGAGAGAGATAAACAATGTTAATATTTATACTGAATGTCTTAAAACTAAATTATCTGTAACTGCTTTAAATTGTTTAAAAACACCTTTCATTGTTTTTTTTGTTTTTTTTATATCTCCGTGATTAGTATGATAAGCCAATGATAGGAACTTTGAAGTCGTCGCACACTGGACCACATTGTATACCTGTGTTGTTATAGGGTCTGATGTTGGCCACCAACATTTGTGAGATTTTCAAGTGGGCCATTAGTCGGAAAAGGTTGGGAAGCGCTGGAATAGAGCGAGACTAATTTCCCTGATACAGATCATCCAGAACAGCCAAACCCTTATCCGCTTTATGGAGTCTGTCATATATTTGGCTTCTCTGACACAGTTTACGCCACAAACATGACGTTGTGGGGGTCAAATCTCATTAAGCACTGGTGGTTATAAAGGGTGGGAGGGGCTCCTGGTATAGAGGAGGGGCTTCTTGAAAACATTTCATGTCCTTGGAAAAAACAATATGAGCTGAATAAAGTGGTCAAACAGTTAAATATTTTATAGGCAACCTGGAAGTTAACTCCTCTGTGGTTTGTTGGCTGCAGACACTCTAACAGCTATCGGCTTTTAAAGATGGCCCATGAAAGATGCCAAAAATAAACTCTTATGTTTAAAATGGACCGATGATATTTATATATTTTTACTGTATTGGATAGACTACACTGCTTCTGCTTCTGCTTTTGCTTTTGCTTTTGCTTTTGCGAAGCTTTAAAGCCTTTTTGACAACGGTAGGGTAAATTACACAGCAGAGGGCACATTACTAACAGCTTCTTCAGCTTCAGGCAAACATTATGCTAGAAATTAAAAAAAACAAAAAAAACCTGCAATTAAAATAAAACAAGAATTTGTAAATCTGTCATGGGTATTATTACGTTTTTGACTAACCCAAAGCCCAATTTCTGATCCCTGTAAGCAATAATCTAATTTATTAGAGCCTTAAAAAGTCACAAATAGTGATAATTGGTTTATTTTACCCCAAACAGTCATGAATAAAAAATATTACTGTGTTATTTGTCACCCTCAGTCCTTATTTCATGCTTTTTATGAAAGTTAAATCATAATGCTCAGCCAAAGAAACCCACTGCTCAAAAAATAAATAAATTTCCCCTGTGTAAGACTCAAAACTTAACATCACACAGCAGCAACAAACCACATTAGCGTACACATTTGTGATATTCCTTTGTTCAAATTGTCATCAGAGAGAAATGACTCTAAGCAATCTTGATCACAGAAGTCTTGATGTGAACATTTACTGAAGTAAGATTTCGTTGGTGTTGTCAGCTACTGTGGACAAATAAATCAAAATGTATGTAGTGTAAAGTGCCTCTCTAGCCTCGTATAATGCACTGCTTTTAGTGTTTCAAGTCACTCCAGCAATGCCAATAAATATGATAATGATATATTAATTAAATCGATACACATTTCAGCTTTGAAACAAACACAAACGTCCTTCCTGCCAAACTGCAAATTTAAATACTTGTAACTAACACAAATTGTAAACGGTGTACAGTCCTCTCTTCACATGACATTTGGTTATAATTATAGTTATTGACAGTCATACTTCAACTCAGAAACAAATTTGTGTGTGTGTGTGTGTGTGTGTGTGTGTGTGCGTGTGTGTGTGTGTGTGTGTGTGTGTGTGTGTGTGCGCATGCGTGTGTGTGTGTGTGCCTGTGTGTGCCTGTGTGGTGGGCAAGTTGGTATGACAAATCATGTGACCATGGCTTTTGCTGGAGTGTGACTGGTGACTACCATGTGTCTGAACTGGTGGGTAGGGGGAAGTGACATTGAGTGGTCTGTCAGATGAGGAACACACACACACACACACACACACACACACACACACACACACACTCCAAAGACATGCATACATGCATATACATGCATGCACACAGTTCCAGTAAATGCTTTAATTAGGGCATGTGAGCCCATATAAATTCCCCCTTTTCAGACATGGGTCTTTCAGTTTCATTCAAACCGACTGAGTGGGAGGAAGGTGGGGCGAGAGAGAGAGAGAGAGAATAGGGAGGAAGAGTGGGAGTTGAAAGTAGTAAAGGTTTCTTTCTTTGTCCCTAATATTTGAAGGTGTGTCACCCCTTTTCTCAGGTGTAGCCCCCCCCCCCCAAACATCTGTTATTGTGATGTTCTTGTTTGCATTTTTGTTTGCATTTTTGTTCGTGCAAAGAATCAGGAGAAGTTACACCTCCGCAGTCAGAAAATATTTCATTTCAGTGGTTTATTTTTATGAAGTCGTTAAAATGAATCTACTGCTGTAACTTTTATGTAAGTTTTATGACTGGAATTAACTGGAATTGACTTCAATTAAAAAGGCACAATCGTAGCCTTTGACCTCTGGGCAGTAGCGGGGTTTTCACCATATATGGCGGATGTTTCTGCACATTGAGGCAGTAATGACACAGGGGTGACTGCACAGTGTCCATAATCTAGTCTGCTGCTGCTGCTGCTGCAGTTGAGTCTTGCCCCCACTTCATCTGTGTCAATAGAGGAAGTTATGTATGTGCCATTTCCTCTTTTCAGTCATGAGTTTCTGTAGCATTTGACAACCCTCCCTCGCTCTCGACCACCAGCCTCGCAGCCCACGCCACCCAGCATTAACCAATCAGCAGGTGGCCGTGACTCTTTTTCTTCTTGTAAAGAGTCTGAGAAGAAAGATTAAAAAAGAGGCATGAGAAAATGCTACAGGCTGATGAAGTGATCATGATTCAGCTCTTCTAGTAACAGTACAATTGTTTCTTTACACATCGAGCGGGCGGTTATCATAAATAGGTACAGCGATACAACACTTCAGGGAAAGTGAGAATAAACACCCAAACATGAGGAGGCAATGGGAGTGAACAGTGCTGAAACTGACCCCTTTCATATGTGGTGTTCAAAGGGGAACTCCAGCAGCAACTGGAGGCTTTTATTCCAAAACGCTGCACTCCATCCTTTTTGGAAAAATAAAATCACTTTTAGTTTTGTTCATATTGTAAAAAACAAACATTGTTGCTGCAGAAAGGACCCATGACACATTCGTTCATATTTTGAATGTTGTGCTTTTGGACCAAACCTCTTCAATAAAACGCATCACTTCTTCCTTTCTTCTCCCCCCTAAAGAAATGCTCATCGGTGAGAGATAATAAATTGTTTAATATCTTTGCTGTGACACATCCACCAGACCTTATCAGTTAGTTTAACCTCGT